CCAAAAAAGGAGAATTCTAGCATAAAAGTAGAATACCATAAAGCTCCACCAAGCAGAACGCCAATGGGAAACCTTCATCACTCAAAATAGGATCAAGCCAATTAAACCAGAATAATAATTCATCCTTCTTCTTCAACCATATCTCTTGTAGCTCTTCTACAGAACCAAAGGTGACAATGCAAGAGTTCCATGCATAACCCATCTGGCAACCCTAACCTTTATCCCATCACTGGCCAAACCCTTCTGAGCCAACTCAAAATCAAATAATGGTTTGACAATCCCTGTTAGAGATCTTTTAACCCAATCCGATTCACCCGAAGGGATGTGCATCTCCCACACATTTCTCATCCCCGGAGCCCAACTTGAACTCCCTACTCTTTGCTCCTTTAATACCAATTCAATCCTCCTCCTTTCATTCGAGACCAATGCCTCCTTATAAGATCTTCAATCCCTCAAACTATTCACAGTTGCTTTTCCATCTCTTTTCTTTCTCTCCTCATCCCTATTTGTCCTCTGTGAATCTGTCTGGGATCTATTACCAGCTGCAAACTTATTCCGATGGCTTTGATATTTCGCAGCCCCTACAGTTACTCTCTTTCCGTCTATCCATGCCCCGTTGACATTCTCAATCGCCATCTTTAAGCCTTCCTCCTCGAACTGAACAAAGGCAAACGTTTGATTCCCGTACTTTGGTTTGTTGGATACGTTTGGAATATAGACCCGCAATACATTGCCCTGATGTTGGAAAAGTTCCTTAACAGCTCTCCTAGAGACCCTCTTACTCAGGTTATCCACAAACGCCGTCCATTCCACACCGAAAGGCGGATGACTATCCATAAAATCTCTCTCTCTCACTGGACCTAGCTTGTAGTTTTGTTTACAATTTGCTCTGAGCATGTTGACCTTACAATTTAAAACTTGAACTTATAGAACCAAGGGAATTTAATTCATCTGCTTTTCTCAAACTCATAAATAATTATAATGATCCCAGTTATAAAAATATTTACACAACCAATTCATGTACATTAATCACTTCATCGCCATGAGCTATAAAATATAAAAAATCTGCAGCGTTCATAATATAACTAAATACAATTGGTTTGAAGCAAATTGCAAAGAAAAATGTACCTGGAAAAGAATAAGCACTTTTAACTCTCGTTTCTTGATCTCCCAAAGCATAGCATCAAGAAGTTGTAATTTTCCACTTGCTTTTATTCCAACCTCCAAAAATTCAACCTCTTGAAGGCCTTTAATGAGCAACGTTTGAAGTGATTGATCCAAATCATAGGGATGATCACAACATTGTCAAGAATTACCATCAAAGGAAGATATCAACCCATAATATGATGTCATAATAGTAATTTCTACATATCTTACTCATCCTCATACTAATACAAATATTACGAAAAGAGGTCAATGGAAATTCATCTAACACGGAAGAGAATAAAAGATAAACCAGGTGATTGTTATGCTTTTAAAAATAACAAATAAATAAAATAATTTTTGAACCATGAACCATTCCATCCCAAAAAAATTTGCATTCAGAGATTTTTTAAAAGCATCGTCAGATTAATGACTACAGAAGGATGACCTCAATATTAGCTAATATGTCCGCTTCCCAGTTGGCAACCCTCAAGATAAGCCTTAACGTAATATCCTTCCTTTCCATTATAGAGACGATCTCCTTCACCAAGGATTGAAACATAGGGGTGCTTAATTCCGGATTCTTGATCCACTTCAGTGCGTTACTTGAATCGGATTCTAAAATAATCCTCTGATTATGAACAAAACCTGAATCATTCAGTATGCACAACCCCCTCTTTATCGCTAATAATTCTTCCATAATCGGAGGTCCACCCCCAACCTTATCAGAAAACCAGTGAATCAACACACCACTGTTGTCCCTAATCAGTCCACCTATACCACCTTTATTCCATCCCTTCACCATCGCTCCATCAACATTAATCTTTATGAACCCATCTGGAGGAGGAACCCAGCAAGTTGGTTGAGATTTTCCTTTTTTCTGTCTACCAACCAAATCAGCAAGTGTTAAGTCACCCACTAGGGAGTCGTAAGGGGTCTACTCAACATCAAATCTAGCAGCAAACCAAGAAACTATTCTAAATCGAGCAATAAAGAACAGCATTACCACATCCAGCTTTCCTTTCTTAAATATAACCACATTCCTGCATTTCCAAACCGTCCACAACACCGCCCTTGGAATAAATTTCCATATTCTGGAATTCGGAAGTAGATCATCCCACAGAATATTGAGGTTTCTTAAGTATGATGTTAGGGATGGCAGTGTATTATTCTCCAGATTAATCAAAGTCATAGGCACTCTTTCCTCCTTCCAATGTTCTTCATGTTACTATCGTAACATGGAGGGTAAGAAGGGGGTTTTTAATGAGGTTTAATCTTTTATAAAAAAAAATGAGTCCAAAATTTCTAAGATTATAGTTGAAACATAACCTAAACATAATTTGTGCGATACTGCAAGCAAACATATAATGCCAGGAAAGCAGCATGAATATTTTGATTTATTAGAAGATTTGATATCAAAGGTATAAATTAAGAAAAAGAACTCAAATCTCACATAATCATGTGATTGAAGCAAAAAGTGCAATAAACTCAACCTTTCGGCTGGAGACAAGAATGTTACGGAGAAGTTCACAAGCATCAATCTTTGAATGTGAGCACAGAGAGAGAATCTGAAAGTATAGTAAAACAATACTTCTCTAGCTGCGCATTGGATAAGAGTACAGGAACCTAATACTCCAGAAACCTAGATGATTCTAGCTTGCACTCATAAGCAACATACTTTGCCAACCTCTCATTCATATTAGAAGAGCAAATCTCCTCCTTTGTTGAATTACAGTCAACCCTGCAAAATACATAGATATATTTTAAAGAAAATATATATACTTTATCAATATTACAACTAAAGAAGATCAAATAATGATACAATTATGTGTCAAGTACTCAGGTAATTAAGGTAATCCCAACATGTTGTAAATGCAAGCTAAAATACTCATAAAAAAGTCTTCAACATTGCTACGAGTACTTTTACTAGTAAGTAATAAACATGGGCAGAGCATTGAGAAGACATTTTAATTTTCAATTGCAACTACTTGATAATTTTTTTGATAAGAAACAAAGGCTCGTTAAAAACCCCCTTCATACCCGCTGATGAACAAAAGTGCCTCAGCGGACATTGGAAGGAGGAAAAGAGTGCCTCAATATTATTCCAAAAAGAAATTACACCTCATACAACAGCAAGCTATTACAAACATCACCCACCAACTTAACCTCAACCCACCCTACAAACACATCATCCAAACAAAAATTACTAAACAATTACCCTTACCCGACTTAGCCAAACTGTCAACCTCCCAATTCACAACCCTTTTTACAGACCTTATAATAACACTATGTTCCAATACAACAATGACAATTTCCTTAACTAGCTGTGAAAAGACGGTAGGACACACTTTCGGAGTCTTAATCCATTTCACTGCAATTGCAGAATCAGTCTCTATAATTAACCGACCCCTACCACACCATTCTGATTCCACAAACAAAGCTAAGATAGGCGGACCTGGACCAGCAGATGCCGAAAATGAACCCAAAATCTTACTCTCTTAATTCCTAAGGATACCACCAATTCCACTGCTATTCCAATCACTTGTCACTGCCCCATCCACATTAATTTTGAAGAAACCCGGGGGTGGGGGACACCACAAGACCTTTGAGAGATTTATCTTCATGGACGGATTACTTGAATCAGCCAACTTCGGGTCACCAACAAGGCAATCTAAGAGAACTGGAAAATTAGAAAATTTCGTTGAAAACCACGCAGCCACCCTATATCTAGAAATAAAGAACAACTGTTTAAAATCAAGACTTTCATTCTCGAAAATCACTTGGTTTCAACACTTCCATACTGACCACAAGACAGCTCCCGAAATAAAATTCCAAATAATAGACTTTGGAACTAGGCTTCCCCAAGAAGATAAGACATTAGGATACTCTGGAAGGACCGTGGATAGGTTCCACAACCTTAAGAAACTCACCCATAAGACCCATGCAATAGAACAAGAAAAAAACAAGTGAGAAATCGTCTCTTGGTACAAACCACAAAGAGGGCATAAAATGTTCTCTATCCCACTAACACCACGCTTGATAAGTTCAGATTTAATAGCCAATTTTTTATGCAAAACCTGCCACATAAACGCCTCCACTCTTGGGGTAGCATAATTGATCCAAACCAGCTTCGATCAAATCGGATCCACACTACTTGATAATCAAATGACCAGATATATATTTTCCAATTCAAAATTTAGCTGCCAATATCTCAAATTCTCAATCGGTATGTTTGGTTGTAAATGTGGGGGATTTAATTAGCTTAAGTCTAATTTAATTACAAGGAACAATATTGATTAGGAAAATTTCTTACTAAGCAAAAAGTTCAGATTCAATAAAACAAAAGCAGGAACCATACAAATCATTGACTAGAAGTTTTGAAAACCTTCTCAAGGGGAGTCCTAATATCCATCCAATTCTAAGATCATTGCAAGGGCCCCACCAGAATCTAATGTATATTTTCTCTTCTATTTATCATGTAAGTTTTGATACAGAACAAGAAACTTGTCCAGCTCTATCAAGCCCTTCTGCTTATTTTTGGTATATAATAAACCTCACCCATTAAAAAAATAAATAAATCCCAACCAGTTGGAACCAAAATTCATCAAGCAGCTAAGCACTTAAATTCCTGGGCTGTCACATGCACCAGTGACAAACACCAACATGAATCACATTCAAAACGTAGATAATCCCCACAGCTTACAGATTAAACCAGGAAAAATCCAATTCCTTTCCCTCTTGCTTAGGAATAAGCATCTCAATAACCTTAATATCAAGCTTATATGCTCCCAAATATGTCTAACAAATTATCATTAATCATTTAAGTTTGATGAACTGACTGAAATAAATAAAACAAATAAAATCATGTTGAATTACCATCCAACTAATAATAAATCAGTATCTTTTCCTTTCAGAACACATCCACAAATCTCTGTGAAATTTTTTCTTTTGCAACCAGATGCAAATGAAGTTCCAACTCCAGTGCAGGTGTCAATATCATTACTCGACATTTTTGGAGAAGCAACAGAATCAATGTCTATATCATGACCTTTCCTTTCAGAAGGCAAAAATTTTGGAACCATCTCCACACTTATATCACAATCAAGGACCCCTCCAGGCACGATGGAGTTTACCAACTGTGGACTTTGCAGATTTATAAATGCGGTTGTTTCAGCATCATCATTCGTTTCTCCTGCTCCCAAAACATTCTGAAACATTTGTGGATCACCCCCATTAGAAGACATATTCTTGCAGCTATTCTTTTGGCTAGTGGGAAACAATTTATGCCCATCATTTCTTTTAAGTTTTTCCTCAGCAAATTGACTTGTACTTGTCGCCATAGTCCTTTCATGAGTTCTCTTGGTGAATTCTTCTAAAACGTCCTCCTCCCTCCTACTAGCAGTTCCATTCAGATCATTGCAACTATCTACAGAACAAGCAGAACTCTATAAGAATGATACATTTAATCAAACAAAAAACTACTTACAAGAAATATCTTAGATCAACATCCAAACTACAGAAGAATTTCCTTTATAGATGATATGAGCAAATCACAAACAGCATGACACATGTTCCATCTGTATTACTCCTCACAATACCTGTTCCCAACATTCTTGGGTTGTTTCGTGAACAGTGCTATATAGGAACGAGCATCCCTTCTCTTCTTCTGTGTCCCTTCAGCTTGTGCATCTTTTTGCTTAATTTTGTTAACTTCCGCAGTTTGCATTGTCAATTGTTTCACACACTTTTCTTTTTTCTCTTTCTTCCTTTTCATATTCAACACATCTATGCTCTTATCAGACCTCTTTGATCCAGAAGAAGATGAGGAGGAGGACATCTCACCCCTCTCAGATCTCCTCAAAGGACTCATGTTCTCTTTTTTCTTCTCAACTCGCTCACTTTTCCTCTTAGCTGGAGGAGTCATTGAATTCAAATTTGCAGTCTGCTTCTCAAGAAGCTCCAACTTCCGCATACCAGAAGAACTTGTCAGAGTCGTGTTTTCCTTATATAGGGTTTCCCTAGGTGACCTCCTAATACCAGATGCTTCTGCTGTAGCAGACCCCAAATTCACAGACTTTTTGCCACTATTTTAACTTTCCTTTCAAATCATTATTTTCATCATCCTTAGCATTTCTACTAGACTACCTAGTACCATACGCCATACCTTCATTGCAAATAAAAAAATCTTAAAACAGTGCATAGAAAATGAAGCAGAAACTCACAATTATTTACCATCAAATGCCTATTTATTCACAACATCAAGCTTGATAGTTGACCATACTAGGATAAATATGATTCTATAAATATGCATTAACTCGGACGAACATGAAAGGAACAGCATATGTAAGAAAAGGTTGATAGTAGTAGTACCAAGAGAATCAGAACAATGTCACAGCTTTGAACCCTAAAATGTAAAACCTAACTCAAGCCACCAATACAGTCGATAAACAAAAATTTAGTAATTCCAACTCAATCGCAAGCGTCTCAAATTAAAACCCAGACAAACTAAAACCCAGACAAACTTGACCAGCATTTTTTTAACGCGATTGTGATTTTCCATAATAGATAAGTATGGACTTACCTGCATGCAAATCTAATGGTGCAATGTTCCCTCAATGAACTTTTTCCCTTTTTCCGTTTATTGTTTGTTTAGGTTTTCACAGAAGCAATGTTGGTTAGCAAGTCAAACCAATTCCTTTCCCCAAGAAAACAAGTGAAAAGGAAGGCATCCTCGCGAGGTTTTTACAAAGTTTGGAATGTGGTTTTCCTGTGAAAGTTTAGAGACTATTATTATCACATTTGGAATAGACGATGAAATTAATTTGCGGTCAGATTTGGGCCAATTTGTTAGAATAATATTTTCCTAATTTTTATTTAAATAACACTGGAACAAAATTATTTATAAAGATGGTATTTTTTTTATTAAGCTAAAGACGATTATAAAGTAATATATATTTTTAAGATAAAATAACCTTAGTGACTAAAAATCTCAGATAATATACGATTTTGACCAATTTTTTTTGGATTTGTGAAAATGACCAACAAAATTGCAATGCGATCTCTAATTCGCATTGCGATCTCCACTATCTCAAATTCGCGTTGCATTTCGCGTTGCGATAGTCCAAGTTGTCGTTGCGATAGTTTCCAAATTCGTTGCGATAGTCTACAGTTGTCGTTGCGATTTTCCAAATTCGTTGCGATAGTAAAAAAAAGATTTTGTTTCTTAAGAATTTTCTCTAAAAAGATAGTATTCGTGCGTACGTGTCGAAGACACGTATTACCACGACAACGACCCGAGACGAGACGGCGGCGACGCGCGAGAGTCCCCCTTGTTCTCTTCCACTCAACAAGGAAGTGGGAAATTCAAGCCTTAAATACAATTCCCAATAGTATTTTCAATACTATGTGGGATTGAGCATTACCAACACCATAAACTCTTAGTTCCCGACCACATATCAAAACCGTTTGATTATTTCAGATTCATTCGATTAAAGAACAAGAAAGATATATACCAGACCACAGATTTGAGATCTCTTTCCATTATCACTTGAAAGGCATGAGTCATATCTAGTTCACTACTACTTCCCTAACTTGACTTTCAAAAACAGTGGAGAATGAACATAGACAACTATTGTTAACTCAATCAATAACAGATGACATCGCAAATCAAGCCCTTGAACCAATCATTTTAGCGATTAATTTCCAATAAGTTACTCTTGATACTCATGGATAACCATCATAAGACGCATTAAAACCACCGATCAAGTAAGATTATCTAATACTTTCACATGTTCCGCTACCATAATATTAACTGAATAGAAATGTTTCAAGGAGAAAACAACTGCCTGTACTTATTTACTATATTCTATTAGCATTTTCCTATGCAGAGATTTAGAAAAATACACATATATCAAAGAAATGCATGCTCATTACATAGTCAATGAAGCACTAAAACAGATGCTTATGTATGCAGTTTAACAGTCCCTTCATATTTCGGTCTCTTTGATTAGTAAGTGGTGGTCGGGAACTAATATTCTATGGTGTTGGTAATGCTCAATCCCACATAGTATTGGAAACACTATTGGGAATGGTATTTAAGGCTTGAATTTCCCACTTCCTTGTTGAGTGGAAGAGAACAATGGGGACTCTCGCGCGCCGCCGTCTCGTCTCGGGTCGTGGTCGTGGTCGTGGTCGTGGTAATACGTGTCTTCGACACGTCCGCGCGGATACTATTTTTTTAGAGAAAATTCTTAAGAAACAAAATCTTTTTTTTTACTATTACAACGAATTTTCGCAACGAATTTGGAAAATCGCAACGCTATTTTCAACTATCGCAACGCGAATTTGCGATAGTGGAGATCGCATTGCGATTTTGTTGGTCATTTTCGCAAATCCAAAAAAAGTTGATTAAAATCGTATATTATTTGGGATTTTTGGTCACTGAGGTTATTTTCTCTATTTTTAAGTGCTCTTATAATTATTGGTGCTCAAACTCTTGACATATAAGAACAATAACAATTCTTTTAATCACTATGATAAGTTGGTTTGTGCAAAGATGATATTCTTTTAATAAATATGTATATATATATCTTTTAAAAGATTACATTTTATTCATATTATAAGTCATATTATTTATATAGAGATTTTTTAAAATGTTTAAATATATTTTTTCAAATATATACTTTTGTGTAACTCATGCTCGCACAATTATGTGTCTTTAAAACATATTACGAACGTTATTTTTTAAAAAATAAAATTCTTACAATTTTTTTATCTATTATTTTTATTTCATTCATTTTGATCTTAAATGATGTTGATATGAGAAAATTTGTCCAGATAACTTACCACATAAACAAATACATACCTTTTAAAATATATCTTTTGAAAGGCATTTTTACATAAATGCGTTTTTATTAAAACTGTAACACACATAGCTCGTATATGTCTCGTAACACAAATTAAAGATGTCACATCAATTCAATAGACATTTGCTAGGCCTAAATGCTTAAAAAATTTTGTTTCGATTTAAAATATTTTTTTATCATTTAAAAATCTTTTTCCTATAGTATGCCTAGTCATAACATAATAATTTATTGTTTTAAACAAAGTTGATTTTATGCATCAATTAGACAGTTCTATGATGTTTCATATATATATAATGGTGTTTGTTTTAAACCCATTTAAAATCATTCATAATATTCATACATATATACGATTATAATCATGGTTATCAAAACCAGATCGGACCGGTCGGTTCAGCCGGTTGCACCGTGAACTAGTGGCCTGTCCGGTCTGGTTAACTTCCAAAACCAGTTTTACAATGAACCGATAAAACCGGCTGAGAACCGGTAAAACCGGTGTGAACCGACTGAAAATCGGTGTGAAGCATCGGTTCTGTTTTTTTATTTTTTAAAAAAAATTAAACCAAATGATGTCGTTTGTTAAACGAGCCGAGTCGAACTCGAGTATTGCTGAGCTTGACTCGAACTCGAAAACTTTAAAAGTAAGCTCAACTTGACTCAAAAACTCATGAGCTAAAAATTATCAAGTTCAACTCGAACTCGAAATATAATATTGAAACTTGAACTCGAAAAGGCTCGAACTCAAAAAAAAATTAGAAGCTCGATTGAAGCGAAAGAATAGTTCGCTCTGTGCTCACCAAAAGGCTCCATGATTTTGAATGACAAATTACCTCTATTATTTATAGAAGTCAGTTAGGATGCTCTTCTATGTTTCTTAGCCATGTAGGATTGTTTTGTTCTCATATTTTTACTCTTTAGACTTTTGGGATGCTCTTCTATGTTTCTTAGCTATGTGAGATTGTTTTTTTAAATAAACCAAACGACATCGTTTGTTATAATTTTTTTCAACCCCAAATTTATTTTTTGATAATAGTTATATAGTTATATTTATTATTTAATATGTTTACCTTAAATATTATGTTATAGTTGATTTGAATCATTTTGTTTCACTTGATTTTATGGTTTTTAACTTATATATGTTATGACTTGTGATATTTTTATACCTTTTAATATTGTAAACTTAAAAAAAGTGTTACATATATATTAATATTGCTTTGAATATTATGTAAAATTTAAAAAAAATATTTTTTTATATAAAATCCAGTTCAAACCGGTTGAACCAATGAACCAGTACCTTCACCGGTTTAAGGTCTTGTCCAGTTTTAAAAACATTGATTATAACTGAAATTAACCAAACATTAAAACGGTTCTAAATTGCTATTTCAGACCCCTTTTAATATAAATTTGGTAAAGCAAATCAACGGATATAATGTACATGACACTAATAAATCAAAGTTAGAGTGTCTTACTGATATTGTCGGTAGGTTTGATTTCCACAAGATGATGGCACGCTTCTCTCTTCATGTTCTTTTCTTTACTCAAACCTATGCATGAAAAATCATCACGCGCTAAGTAAAACTTAGTGAGGTAATAACATAGCTAAAATGAGATAAAACATAAGATTTCGTAAAACATTATAAACATAAATCTGAAATTAAAATAAAAATATTAAAACTTTCAAACCAGACTATTCATGATGTTCTCCTCTTGAAAATCTGAAAATCATCATCTCATGATTTTATCAAAAATCATGTAAATCATTATTAAATATAAAAAACAACATCATATTCCTTTCATTCGGACATATTTTTCATTCGAATATGTTTCAGAACTTTCACTTCAGTTCTATATTCCATTATTTCTTATTCCTTTCATAACTTCACATTTACTATTATAGCCTAATGTATATGTAAGAGAATACAAGGTACGTGAGTCAGACATTATTATCATATCGGAATCATAATATGCACACAAAGTGCAATCACATCTGAAAATATATACTAGTGTACCCACCAGTAACACTACAGTATATCACATCAGAAATGAACACACATAGTTCTATCGCATCAGAATCAGAATATGCACACAAATTGCAATCACATCAGAATATATATATACTAGTGCACCCACTGGTACACCACAATATATCAAAATTGGAACATATAAGCACACATAGTGTTATCATATTAGAATCATAATGTTCACACAAAGTGCAATCACATCAGAATATATACTAGTGCACCTTCAGGTAACATCCCAATATATTAGAATCACTCCACTCAGAATATATATATACTAGTGCACCCACCGGTACACCACAATATATCAAAATTGGAACATATAAGCACACATAGTGTTATCATATTAGAATCGTAATGTTCACACAAAGTGCAATCACATCAAAATATACTAGTGCACCTTCAGGTAACATCCCAATATATTAGAATCACTCCACCTCATGTACTCACGACTGTCAATGTAACATATAATGAGCTTTCATATCATATTTCATTCATTTATAATTCAACATTTTCAATCAGTATCATTTTTCAATATCATTATCATAAAAAAACTCATAATT